TATCTCCTGGGCCCGTCATCACCATTAACAGCTGTGAGAGTGTGTCAGGATGTTTTTCAACATGTTTTTTGATGAACCAATCAGTGATTATATCATAGCAGATGTGTTGCTTGGCGTTCAAAGCAAGCATATTTGAATGCAATATTTTCAGAAATTTGGTCGGTAGTCACAAGTTCTGTCTGTGGATTTTTCCCTGATATTGTAGGTTTGCAGACACTCTTACTTTTATCATCATCAGAGTAAATTTATCAGCATCATCACCGGACATTGTTCCTCAGAAAGCCGCAGTATCTCCGATGAGAAGGCCAGTGCCTTGCTCTTCAGGATTCAAGGCATTTTGTTGATTTTGGGAAGCAACTTTCTCCTGATCCTTGATCTCAATCTTTCATTTCTTCACCATCTCTGGAGTAGAATCAAAAATAATCAGGTATGGATTCATTTTGTTTGAGTGTATGGGGGGAGTAGGATGGCTGATGTCAGAAACAGAATGCATTGATTGGAGCCACTCAGAATATTATAGATGGAGGACAGCGGCTTGTATTTGTAAGTCACATTTACATAAAGTGGGACTCAATATAGTCTGATCTTTTCTCAATTCAGCATAAATGTCATAGCTTTTTAGGTTCTCTGTATCCTGTTGACTGTTGAGTGCGGCTGCAGTTCATTTACACAATCTGTCTGTATCCTGCTCATCTTTGTACTCATAAATAGCATCCCAGTTATTCATTATCTCCTTGCTTTGTGGTGTAAAATGGTAGTTGTTGTACACATCCTCCAGTAGCTCATCTTTTTCAAATAAATTTACAGATATACTAAATGGTTCATAATGGGCAAGGGAAAATAAATACCAAGCTCAAGAGTTAGACCAACAAAAGATAGTTGTACCAATTATGCGCGGTATATACTCAACTTGTCTATCTCCATGCTCACCATTAGTATGCTTGAGGAGTATATGGGTGAAATGAAGATTGTGCCGCGGTGTCAGAACATGTCTTTTCAGTACACCAAGGCAAGAATCACTAGTATTCTTCAATTTGTTACTTTTGCTAACCGGTTCCAGGCAAACACAACGACAAAAATTGAAGAAATTCATATTTTGTAATGTTCCACTACAATATAAGTAATGATGTATTTGATTCATAGCAATTGAATCACCCTTTCTATTTATCTGAATATGCAATGAAAACTCCTCATCACCTCATTTTTGTTGTTTGTATCTTGTGAGGATTGGTTTGTCAGAGCAAAGGCATCATAAACGTAATTCATCAAGAGTCCAGACAGCATAGGGACAGTAAAGTGAGATGAGACACCATCATTGAATCCTTTAATATAGCGAGCAGTTTGCTGTGTGTGGATCTGCTGTTGTTGAGCAAATTGACTGAGGCATTTATGCAACAACATCTTGGCAGCCTGTACAGTAGTCAAGGTTGTTACAATTGACATACCAGCACCTACTTTATGCTTCACTTCTCTGTACTTTTATTTTTCATTTTCCAAGTTAGGTGACTGATCACATGACCATTTACTTTACTTACTTTTCGGACTTTTCATAGTAACATGACCAATCATGATGTATCACCTGACCAGTGTCTAGACTCAACATATAACTGGTCACATGCTGGACATCGAACTTTAAACTTTATGTATCAACTGTATAGTACCTCATGTATTGTAGTATATATACTGGAGCAATACATGGGGAAGGACTCAGTGTGTCCTCTCCTAGTGTATACCAATATTAGTGAAGACAACCTCCCTCCTTTAATAGGTTGTACACTTCCTTTCCTACCATTGAGTTGTAGTTAGCTGTGCTCCAGTGCCCCAAGATAGAATCTTGTGGGTGTTGTCACAGAGGTTAGCATTACATATTTTTGAAACAGCTCGAGACAGCAAAGGCAGCATCTTGTGTGTTTTCAGATCCATCTTGGTAATATAATTGGTAATATAAAACATGGCACCTTTTGCTGCACAGCTTGACAAAATACACTTGATGTTGTGGTTATGACAACATAATACTAAAATGTATGGATTTAAGAAATTGACTGCACCATTGCGACACATCAACACAACTGATTTTCTTTCTGGATTATAATAGGAAGCTTCAACGATCTTGTGAGAAAATAAAAATCTACATGTCTGCATTTCCATATTTATGACAAACATGAAGCGATCCACTACTACCATTACTGAATCATACCCATTTGATTTGGGTAGGTCCGTTGTAAAATCAACCAATATATCCTGCCAGGGACCAGCTGGTATTGGATTTGGCACGAGTTTACCCGCCAGCAGTTGATGCAAATTCTTTGCCATGGCACATCTCAGACAGGATTTTACATGCTCCTGTACGTCTTTAACCATGCCAGGCCACATGTAGTTTCTGGAGATCAACTCCATTGTTTGTTGCCACCCAGGGTGCCCAGCCACTGGAGTGTTGTAATGTCTATCTATTGCCTTGATCCTTGCGGACTCAGGCACATAGAATTTGTCTTGAAAATGGAAGAGCCCGTCTTCCCATAAATAGTTCTCATTGCCATCAAGATGCACCTTTTCTTCCAAGGAGATGTCTTTCTTGAAGGCTTCCAGAAGATCAGAATCCTGCCCAATTCTAACATTGGCAACCCTTGATTGGTCAATCAGGGTTACACCTTTGTTGTCATCTTCTACGCCGTTGGCATGATCTTCTCTTCTGTCAAAGGTCCAGGTTTATGAATTAATTTATAATTAAACCTAGACAAGTACACTGCATAGTGAGCCTGTCTTTGGTTCAAGTCTCGGGCTGTCATAAAATACTCCAGATTCTTATGATCGGTCCAAATTTCAAATTGGTGCCTAGCACCTTCTAAGTAGTGCCGCCAGTGCTATAAAGCTTGAATGATGGCCAGCATCTCCTTATTGTAAATTTGATAGTTGCACTCTGTAGGCAAAAAACTATGTGATAAATAGGCACAAGGCCTCCAAAAATTGTCAGGGCATTTAATTGATAACACAGCCCCAGTAGCAAAATCAGAAGAGTCGGTTGCTAGCCAGAACTCTTTGTCTAATTCTGGAAATGCTAATATGGGCGCTATTGTAAATTCCTGTTTAAGCTTATCAAAAGCTTCTTGTTCCTTGGCACCCCAATGCCAAACAATGTCCTTTTTAGTGAGATTGTTCAACGGTCTTGTTATGTTTGCAAAGTTTTCAACAAATATTTGGTAGAAATTAATTGCCTAAGCCAAGGAAGGCCCTAACTCCTTTGATGCGAGTAGGTTCAGGCCAATCCAATATAGCTTGAACTTTTTCAGGGTCCATCCTGATTCCGTTCTGGCCAATTATCATACTGAGGAAGTCTACTTCCTTCACTTTAAAATTACATTTTTCGGGTTTGACAAATAGTTCCCATTCCTGTAAGCGTCAAAGGACTTCTTGCACGTTCCTGTCATGCTCAGCCTTATTGTCCGACTTTGTAAATATTAATAAATCGTCAATGTAAATAACAACACAGTTCTCCATATCCGCAAGAATCTTGTTCATCATGCTCTGGAAGGTTGCCGGTGAATTGGTCAACCCAAAGAACATGATGAGGGGCTCGAAGAATCCTCGGTGGCACGTGAACGCGGCCTTCCAAGCATCGTCTTCTTTGATTTGTACATCATTGTACCCCCATCGGAGATCCATCTTTGTTAAGATCTTGGCACCAGCCAACTTGTCTACTAGCTGACTGATCAAAGGTAGTGGATACGCGTTTTTAACTGTGTACTCATTCAAGTAACAATAGCCCATAACCATACACTTTTTACCATCATTTTTACGAATGAAGAACACCGGGGATGTCATAGGGCTTTTGGAGGGTCTGATGTAACCCTTCCTAAGCTGTTCATCTATGAAACTAGAAACCTCATCTCTTTCTGGAGCAGAGAGTGGTATCATATGTTCTTTTCTCAGTTTGAAAGTGTTCTTCAAATCTATAGCATGGTCCCAAGGCTTAGCCTCTGGGAATTGCTCTGATTTATGTTTAGAAAAGAATTTCCAGAAGTCATGGTAATCGGGAGGTACCAGCCTCTTAATCTGTTCCTCGGGTTTTACCTTGTCATTGTCATTGTCAATCTTTTCTAAAAATCTGAGCTCATAAACGTGACCAGCGTTTATTTTTTCGAGACACTCAGTTTGACGGACGCAACTCGATGTACCCAAGTTTTTACACTCCTGAGGACAACGTGACAATGTGACAACCCCTGTCTGCCAGTTGATCTCAGGATTGTGTTTAAACAGCCAGGTCCAGCCCAAGATTAAATCAATCTTCCCTAGTTGAGTAGCTTTGGTGGTGACTCGTTCTCTGTGTCCTTGGTACTCAACAACAAAAGAACATTTGTGCGTGATGCAGCCACCCACATTAAGCGTACTGTCAATATTATAGACGGGAATAGATACATCTAATTTTACAAGGGGGAGTCCAACTTGCTCCGCCCAGACCTGATCTATGAAGATGCTGTTAGCGCCTGAATCAATCAGTGCACGGGTTGGGTGTACTGTGCCTCGGGCAAGGTTTTTCACGCCAACGTCTAAACAGATCTCCTTTTGGAATAAGTATGTGCGCATCAACACACACTTTGGGATTTCAGGAAAGGGTGGCTCCAAAGAAGTATTGAAAGATACATGTTTTTCTATTATATTTTTACCAGAATCAAGCACCCTATTGTTTGTCTCGCCGGGGCCACACTCCAAGGGAGACGCTGGTACAGCGGTGGTATTGTAAGTATTTCTATCATCAACTCCTTCATCATCTTGACCCTCTGAATCAGCGCTTAAAGCAGTTATATCGTCAGGTGGGTCCAAGATGAATCCACAGTCACAGCTTCGTATACAAGTACATACTTCAGATAACAAATTTAGAAATTTATTTACAAATTGGGGAGCCATCCCCTTCTTTCCATTATTGCTCATGCAACACCCCGGAGCAGGGGCCACCTTGTTGTTGTTTACTTCATTGTTTCGAGGAGTGAAGGCACCCAAGTTACCTAAGCTCCGAATTCTTTTCCCTGAGCCTTCATTTTGTTGACCTGCTGGTCGGAAAAGAAGGCCCAAATTTTGTCATATGAGTGACCGGCCAGAGTATTGAGCCGATTGTCCAGTTTTTCAGTTTCTAATTGGCGCACCTGGCACCCTTAATTATTTTTTTGGTGAGCGGCCCGCGCTCTGTTTGTACAATCTCGGGCCATGTGCCCCTCCTGCCCACAGCTGAAGCAGGTGAATCTGCGCTTTTGTCCGCCATAGACCGCGCCAATATCCATAGGAGCGCCCCGTCCTGGTTGGAACCCGTGAGAGTGGTTTTTATGTTGGTTTGATGACCCAGGGCTCCTCTGGGAATAGTTGTTTTTGGTGGTGGACCCGCCACCTTGGTGCATTTTGTAAAGCTCTATGGCCCTACCTATTTTCTGTACCTCCTCCGCTGCTTGGGAGAGGTTGTCACCATGTATGAAGAAATATGTGAATGGACATATGTAGCCAATGACACCACCACCATCTCTTGTTATACAAGAACCCCTTCCCCCATGCAGAGGTGAATACTCTGTACCCAGTCATTATTTGCCTACAAGGCATAGTGGATAAATGCCAACTTGTGGCGGTTGAATGGGTTTGTTCTTCACTTCATGCCTTTTGCGTTGCACTCAATTATACATTCAGCACACTTCAATCTGCGCCCTATGCCGCACAAACTCTTACATTGTCCTCAGGGCCTTTCAAAGAGCAGTGGTGTGCTGTCCTTCACTCCATTCGTAATGTGCACCAACTGGTACACATCAGTCTTGGTCAAGTTTATGAAGAGCCTCTGTTGACTTCCATGCGATCATTGTATATGCAATGTTGTGTTTTTACAAAGGTGAGGCCTTAACATCCCATCATATGTCCTTCTTGACCCCTCTAAATGTTATCTAGATATCTCATACAAAGAAAGACGTGCAATCTGTGTTAGTACCGTTTGATGATCCAAGACAGAGAGCAAAGAGTGTAAATGAGAAACGGAGAGTTGTGGAAAAACTTGTGCTCGGACGAATGGACAGCACCGGGAAAACCATCCGCTGTTCACACACACTCTTCTGCACTGGGGACTTTGTCGATGGTGGTGTCTCCATTGATGCCAGTGTGTACCACAATCAAAGTGCTAAGCAATCTGTGCAAGCCCACCTCAAACTTGAACATGTCTTACAGCCTGCTCCATCTGCTCATTTACGTAAAGTATGTTTCTCACTTGCTCATGAAAGTGACACATTATAACTCACTAAACAATAGCTTGGCGTTGTTTTGGAGCAGAAAATCATCAAACACAATGAAGGAACCTCTAAACTTTCAGCTGTCGGGAAGCCAACATTAAATTTTGACGCTTTTGCCAATTAGATACTTTTCTGAGACCTCTATTCATACAATTTAAAATATGATTGTGGACCCTCAATCTCTTGTTACATTTCCCAATCACATACATTGTGCAATGAGACAATGGTCACATTGTCTGGTCCTTGGCTGGATCTCCGCAGAAATTGCCGCCCCAGTTTCTGTTCTATCCTCATCTCATCCCCTGATTACTGTTCAACTCCATTTTTGCAGATGCATATCAACTGTTTCACTCTAATCTCCATTCTGACTGCAATCTTGTGATCCTTGATTGTGAAACTGAAAAAATAAGCAGTGCCGGGCCTTCCACTTCCTGACTTTGTCCGTCAGCATTCATCTAACTTATTATGTTTACAACCCTCACCTCAGTCCTCTCCATTCAATCTCCCACCACAATGCCTGCCTCAAAGCAGAAAACTGTACATACTGCTTCTTCCCCAGACCCCACATCTCCAAAGAAACACAAAGTTGTTCCAGATAACGGAACTGAACCAGTCCTATCTACAGGCAGTACTTCTCTCCCTATTTTACCCCACAACAAATCCCAAGAACATACACAAAGGTATGTATGCCTCCTCTGGTTCAAAAATCACTCATTCAATTGTTTGCAATTCAGTGCATGCTCTATTGTGACCAAAAGCGAAAAGCAAACCACAGAGGAGGAAGATACTGTGAATGCGTACTACATTTTTACTCTCGTGTCCTATTATACACCAAAAAAAGCTCATTTGTGTTCTGCAGTGCATCCCCTGCGACCTCAAACACTGTGTCCACTCACATTGAACTCAAAGATTATTAGTTTTGGTGATTCTGCACCTAGTTGTGCTATCTATTTTCCCTTCTTTCTAAATCACTTTCCTCTTTATTCTTTTTGCTCTATTGTCCAGTATTCACTGAGCATTCTATAATTCCGCCTTTTGTGGCTGATTTGTTTACCTTGTTTACAAAACTTCGGACTAGTATTGCAGAGTCCAA